CCACAGCAGGTGTGGCTCTGACGGTCCGACAGCAGGTGAGGAGGCTTGACCCCTGCAGGTGTTCACAGAAACCAGCCACGGCGGGTGGCCAAGCGAGGCACCATGTCCTTGTAAACCTGCACCCTGACCCCCAAATCAGAAGAGGAGCTGGGGCTTCTCCAGCCAAGAATGCACTGTGGTGAGTCCTGAGAAGCCACGTCAACACACCACAAGAGCAGTTTGGATCTGTGACAGTAGTTTGGGGGGTGGGGGGTCACTGAAGTCACTTCCCATTCGCTGGCCACTTCCCACTTGCTGCCACCACAGCCCTGAACTTGCCTCTTACGGCTGGACCCGTGGCTCTAGGACATTGTGTTGCTCTATTTCCACCCCACACAGCCAAGAACTGTGTGTCTGCCTTTGTCAACACAGTAAACCGACCTGCTCAGGTCCCCACGGACACGTCTTACTTACAATGGAAGGAAACAGTGACCAAGTAAGGTTGAGGGATGTCACTTCTATAAAGGTCAACTAAGGAGGGTTGGGGGCCACAGCTATAATACAGCGGGTAGGGCATTTGCCTCGCACACAAGCCAACCTGGGTTTGATCCCCTAGCATCCCATATGGTCCCCTGAGCACTGCCAGGAGTGATTCCTGAGTGCAGAGCCAGGAGTAACCCCAGAGCATCGCCATGTGTGACCCCCAATTCCCCCCAGAAAATCAGGGGTTGGAGTCCAAGTGCCTGAGATTAGATGAGTGAATAAAGAAAAATATGCACAATGAAACACACAGCTGTTAGGAAAAAATGAAGTCACGAAATTTGCTTTTATATGGATAGACATGGAGAGCGCGGAGTGGAATGAGTCAGAGGAAGAATGACAGACAGAGAATGACTGCATTCATTTGTGGGATATGACATATATAGTATGAGACGAATACCAATAGAAATGAGGTGGGCTGGTCCGTGGTTGGAAGCTTGCCACAGATTGTGGGGGAGGGCAGTTAGGACTGAGAAGGGACCACTGTGACAGTGATAGTTGGAAATGATCACTCTCGATAAGAACTGAGTTCTCTAAGGATGTAAGATGATGTACGTGATAACCTTTCAGTAACAATATCGCAAACCACAATGCGAGAGAGAGAGAGAGAGAGAGAGACAGACAGACAGACAGACAGAATCAGAGACAGACAGAGAAGCATCTGTCATAGAGGCAGGCATTGGGGGGTGGAGGGAAACGAGACATTGGTGGTGGGAAATGTGGACCCAAGTTGGAATATTGTATCACCAAAACCAAATCATGAACAACTTCATGAAGGTGTATCTCTTGATCATTCCGTTAAAAAAAAAAAATTAAGAAAAACAATCGGGAGGGGTTGGAGTGATAGCACAGCGGGTAGGGCGTTTGCCTTGCACGTGGCCAACCCAGGTTCAATTCCCAAGCATCCCGTCTGGTCCCCTGAGCACCGCCAGGAGTCATTCCTGAGTCGAAGAGCCAGGAGTAACCCCTGTGCATCGCCGAGTGTGACCCAAAAAGCGAAAAAAGAAAAACAATGGGGAGGGACCCAAAATAGTGGTAAGATAAAGAAAAACAAAGAAATGGACCTCGCAGCTGGAGGATGTGGCTTCCTTTAGGAGGAGAGAGGCAAATAGACAAAGGAACAGATAAGGGGTCCCCAAAACTTTGTTTTTGGGTCACATCCAGCTATGCTCAGGGCTTATACTAGCTCTGCACTCAGGAATCACTCTTGCCAGTGCACGGGGGCCCATATGCCCAAAGAAAGTTTTAGATCTTTTGTTTTCTGGTTTGTTTCTGGTTTGGATTCTTCGTGGTTGTTGTTTGGGGGTCCTTCTCTGGCACTCACAGGCTCTTCCCGTGCACCTGGGCTGAGTGGCTCACACTCCCGATTTTCCCGCCCTCCCCATCCACCCCGGGCTCTGCAGGTGGATGGAAGGCGTGAGGGCGCTCTGTCCAGCGCCTGCAGCGGCATCTTGCAGCAGCCAAGCCTCTGAGGGCAACGCTGGAGAAGCCGCAGCCTGACCCGTGGAACGCTCCAGATGCGGCCCCAAACTTCACCAACTGCCTGCAACAGGCTATGCCCGAGACGCCTCCCAGGAGGGCTGCCATTTCAATCCGGACCCCTATTCCAGCTCTGCACACCCCTGGGCATCGGTGCCTCCCCGAGAAGTGCTAGCCCCTGCCTGACCGTGGCTGCTTAGAAGGACACGGGGCCCAGCCTCTCCAGCCACCGAGCTCCAAGGGCAACTGTGATCCTCCCCCCAACGAGTCTCTCGAGGCCGTGCAGTGGGGAGACTGCCCCTCTGGAGAGCATGCTGTGTGCCCCCCACACTGCTGGCTCACCTGGCCGTCGGCCTTTCACCCACCCTGGGGACAGCACCGTTCTGGGCCTGCTCCTCTCTGGGCAGACGATGGGGTAGGCAGCATGAGGACATCAAAGAGCAGCCCTTCTTTATATGTTTTTGTTGGGGGGGGGCACACCTGGCGAGGCTCGGGTGATAAGACGGGGCGTCTGGTACCAAACTGGGTCAGCCACGTGCAAAGCAAGTACCTTTCCCCACCGGACTGTCTCTCCAGCCCCCACCGGCCCTTCCTGAGAAGAGCCCCAGGCCCAGGCAACTTCAGAGTCTGCTTCCCGTCAGCCTCTTGAGAAAACAGAACAGCAACACCAGGGAACAACTCCCATATGGGGCAGGGGTCCGGGAGTGGGAGGCCAGTGGAACGACAGTGCCCCCAAGTGGCCGATCTGACTCAGAGCTCCAAGGCTGACACAAGACTCAGTCTGACACTTCCAGCCCAGTGGAGATGCACTTCTTTTTGCTTTTTTTTTTTTTATTTTTGGGGTCACACCCAGCACAGGGGTTACTCTACACTCAAGAATGACTCCTGGCGGTGCTCAGGGGACCATATGGGATCCTGGGAATCGAACCCGGTTCGGCCGCGTGCAAGGCAAACACCCTACCCGCTATGCTATAGCTCCAGCCTTGAAGATGCAGTTCTGAGAATTCACCAACCCTCCAAAGGTGTGGGCTCAGGTCACCTAGGCCAAAAGATCTGTCAGGGACGGAGATAGCCTGCCTGTGCTTGATCATTTGTTGTCGTTTTTGTCATTGTTAGTCCAGGCTTGACCATCATTTTTATTGGTTTTTTGGTGATTTTTTTGGCCACACCCGGTGGTGTCCAGGACTTACTCCTGGCTCTGTGCTTAGGGTTACTCTTGGCAGGGCTCAGGAGACTCTATAGGGTGCTGGGGATTGACCCGAGGTTGGTCACATGCAAGGCCAGTGTCCTACCTGCTGTACTACCTCTCTGATCCCAGGCTCAATGGTCTCCTACCACTGAGCATCATGGCACGAGGTGAAGGGTGAAAGACAGCAGTGAGTCTACAGTCCCACCCCCAGGAGTCTAAACTGCGGGGGCACAGACCTGGAAATGCCTCCCACAGTGCTCGAGCCAGGAACCAGTGATGTGAGGACACTCACTGCCAGCCTGGGACCAGCACCAAAGGCTTCCAGGCCTGCCTGGGGGAGGTGGGCTTTAGGGGAGGTGTGAATAGCAGTGAAGGCAGTGAGGGTGGCAGAGGAGACGCAGCAGCAGCACGAAAGAGCAGAGGAAGCAGGAAGGGGATTGTGGCAGTGACGACCCTGGCAGAGCCCAGAGACAGGACAAGGGTTAAGGAACTTGCCTTGCAAGCAGCCAGCCCTGGGTCCGTCCCAGGCACCAGCGTCCAGAGGGTCCCTGGTGGCCACCCTGGAGGCCCTGGAGCACCGCTGGGGTGCCCAGATCATCCCTGGCACCGCAGGGCACAGGAGCACATCTTCAGGCGCTCACACTGGATCACCCAGCCTACTGGCCAAGAGTCACCCGCGGGGTCTCTGGCCGCCTGTACCACCTAGGAGAGCACCATCCCTCCACACCCTCCCCACACTCCGCCCAGTACTCATGTCATGAAGGAGCAGCCTGGCAGTGAGCACAATAACAGAGCAGGGCGGTGGGCAGTGGGTTGTCTGGCAGGCATGAGGCGGTGGGGGTCGTGGGTGTGGCAGCTGTTGGTTTGGGGGCCACACCGGGCGATGCTCAGGGCTTGGTCCTGGTTCTGAACCCCGAATCTCATCTGCTTCTAGATCACCCCCAAATTACTGTTCTTCCTGGGTCCCACCTGGTGGCCACCCACGTGGGCCCCCCCTTTCCTCTTGGAAGTTCCCTCTGCTGGGCCACAGCTCCCCTTCAGACCAGCCCTCTCCAAGGGCTCTCCTGACTCCGTCCTCCAGTGCCTCAGTTATCGGATCCCACATCTTCAGCAATCTCAGACTAGTCCAAAAAGCTCTTCTCTGGTTTCAATCCGCTCGAGACCGGTTTTCTCTCACCCACCTCGCAGGAACCCTCCTCCTCCTGGGCTGTGCCCTGGCCCCTCACCACAGAGAAGAGCTGTCTGTCCCCACAGCCAGGGTGAGGCCCTGGAGAGAACCGGGCCCAGGAGGTTCCTGCTGGCCAGAACCCTGGGTGATGGATCATTTCTATGCGACCCCCGAATCCAGAGAAAGCACAGCGAGCCTTGAGGAGAGGAATGTGGGGTTCCCTCCGGCCTGTCACGCTCAGACGCCGCAGCTCACAGACAGACTCTGGACAGGCAGAAAGACACGAGGCGGTGCTTTCGGATTTCCTTCTTTTTTTTAATGAAACTAGATTACTGCTTATAAAAACCTGCGTGAGCCCTTGAGTCCCTCCCCTTCACAGTTCCCGCGGCCCGGCCTCTCCCATCCCCCCACCGAACGAGAACTGAACAAGGCAGGGGTGGGATGGAGCCGCCCCCCGCGGGAGAGGTCTGGATGGGCCCGAGCCATCCGTGTCTGCCCCTCAGGCCTGGAAGACGCAGAAATGAGGGTGGTCCGTGCCACGTGGCTTTCGGGCCACCCCCAGACCAGAGTGAAATGATTTGCAGTCCCACCCCTGCCCCCCTGCCCCCCAGGAGTCTCCCCTTCCTCCCCCCGCCCCACCCCTCGCTCTGCCCACTACTGAGATGAGGCCCGCTGGCGCCAGCAGGGCCGGGCCTACAGGCTGTAGAACTTCAGGCTCCGGTCCATGCCCGTGGACGCGATGAACTTGGCGTGATGCCCGAAGGCCACCCCGGTGGTGAGGCCGCTGTGCTCTGGGGAGAGAGGGGACACCGGTGAGAAGAACCTGCACCAGCACTTGCTGCAGTGTCCAGCCCCCTCTGGGGATGGGCCTATGGCCCTGTCCCCCAGGGGCAGCAATCAGCCGGCCAGAGGCGGCCCAACGTGGGTGGCGACCAGCTCCTTTTTGGAAGCCAACTCCGCGTCCCGGTGGAAACCTCCCTTCCTGAGGCGAACAAAAGCCCCGGCCGCAGGGGCACAGGAGACCGTCACCACTCCCCACGCTGCTCCCGGGCCCCCAGGGTCACGGCACCCGCTCTGGAACACTGGGCTAGGGGCTCAGGCGTGACACCTTCCCCGTATTTCTTCTATGTATTTTCAGTCTATCTCTGGCGCCCAGGGCCCCTCCCCGACCCCTCAGAGATCGCTGCCCTGCCAGCCCAGGGGTCCACTATGAGAACCCCACAAAGCCGGGCGCTCCCAGAGTTGCCCCAGCGGCCTCAACCCAGAGACGCACCGAGCAGTCGGAAAACTTGGGAGCTGAGCTTCCGGCCCAGCTTCAAGCTTGTCTCCAAACAGCTCTGACTCCTGGCTGGTAGCTGTCACTGCTAAGGAGGGTCTGACTGTAGGTGACCTAGGCCCGACGGGCAGGGCTGGCACAGGGGCACCACTCCTGGCCCCACATGCCAGTTTCTCCTGGAGTCAACCGCCCTCCCCCCCTCGCCCCCCTCTGAAAGCTCCTCGGTGCTCCCCACGCACCACTCTGGGTGCCCGAGCCAAACCCGGGCTTCAGATAGGGGGAACGACTGTGGGCCACATGGTAAGGCCAGGCCTGTGACAGGCACACAGCAGGGCTCGCACAGGGATCCGGTGTGCCACCCACAACCTGCTAACAAGAGACAGCGGCTGGGGCTGGAGTGACAGCACAGCGGGGAGGGTGTTTGCCTTGCACATGGTCGACCCGGGTTCGATTCCCAGAATCCCATATGGTCTCTTGAGATACCGCCAGGAGTAATTCCTGAGTGCAGAGCCAGGAGTAACCCCTGTGCATCACCAGGTGTGACCCCCCCCCCAAAAAAAAAAAAAAGAGCGGCTATAATACTCCTGGTGTGACTGTCAGGGTCGCCACCGTCCACCTGGCGGTTTCAAGGTGAAGTGACAGCTAGCTATAGTTCTATTGTTTCAGGGTCACATCGGCAGTGTTCAGGGGTCACTCCTAGCTCTACAAACGAGAATTAACTCCTGGTGGTGCTCAGGAGACCAGATGGGAGGCTGGGGATCAAACCCAGGTGGGCCACACACAAAGCAAACGCCCCATCTCAGCGGGGCCCATGTGAGAGCTCTGCAAGGGTCGCCAGGCCACCCCCTGGGTGCGGATGGTCCCTCCACTAAGGGGAGACCGGCCACCTGGCGACCCTCCAGAGCTCAGCATTGTTCACACTGCCCTCTCACACTCTCGGGAAATGAAATACGAATCCGTGAAGGCATCTCACACCCGCCTTCCTCACGGAACCTGAAGGCCCCTTCTTGCTAAGACAAGGCCGAGCCACTTCCTGCTCGATCCCCAAGACTCAGCCCCAACGCTGAGAAGCAACAAACCCTTCCTAAGGCTCAAATCACCCTGGACTCTCCCCCTGTGACCCTGGCCCTCTGGGTGCGCGGTCAGTGGCGGGTATCGAGGCCTCGCCAGAGAGGTTCAGTGACTTGCTCGGCATCAGTAAGAAGAACTTTCAGGCCCCCAACTCTACAATCCCGGGGAGAAGCTGCCACGGCCCCTGCAGGACTCCCCCAAGACAGCCCCAACTGGCACTACACCGCTTCCCTGCACCCGCGAGCCGGTACCTGTGAAGTGGAGAATCTCTGTCCACTGTTTGCAGATGTAGATCTGGACGTCCGTGCCCCCGAGGGCCAGGTAGGTACCGCTCTGGTCGAAGATAAGGGACTTCACCTGCAAGACCAGGAGAGAGGTCACGGGCGAGCGACAGAGGCGCGGGGACAACTGGGAACGCGGCGGGCTGGATTCACTCGAGGAACGGCCGCCAGAGGAGACGGGGCGGAGGGGCGCACCTCGAAGTTGTTGTCCAGCTGCAAGGTCTTGAAGTTCTTCAGCTTGCGCAGATCCCACAGCTTGACGGAGGAGTCATCGGCCGCCGTGGCCAGGTAGTACCCGTTCTCAGAGAAGGCAATGCTGGTGATGGGGCCCGAGTGGCCGGGGAAGTTGGCCACGTTGGTGCGCTCCTGCGGGTGCGGGAGTAAAGGGTCATCCCCCGCTCACGGGTGGGAGGAAACGGGCGCTTGAGAAATGGAGCCCCAGGAAGATGTCCTCCTGCTCCTCAGGGAAGGACAGCTGGCAGGAACGACAGAGGGGGATGGCACAGCCCTGTGCCCCAGTGCACACATGACACGCATGGTCGTGTGTGCACACACACAAACACGCACACACATTCGCTGTCCTGTGCCCCAGTGCACACGTGACACGCATGGTCGCGTGTGCACACACACAAACATGCACACACATTCGCTGTCTCCCTGTCCCAGCACACACACATTCTGCCTCAGCGCACACACACACACACACGATACACACATTCACTCTCGTTCCCTCTCCCAGAATCCAAACATACACACACACACACAAAATCTGTCCTAGAACACACGCACACACTCTCACACACTCACACTATCTGTCCCAGAACATACACAGACTGTCCCAGAACACACACACTGTCCAAGAACACACACATTCTCTCTCTCTCCCTCCACTCCCCCCCACCCCCTCTCTCGCTCTGTCACCGTCTCATCACCCACAGACATGCCCAGGGTCCGGCGTCCTGCAAAGAGCTCAGCTGACCGTGTCCTACCTTCAGATCCCAGATCTTGATCTGAGAGTCCATGGTGCCTGTTCCAAAGATGAGCCCATCGGGGTGGAACTGCGCACAGGTCAGCGCTGCGGGGAGGGGAGAAGTGAGTCGGACCACGGCCAGAGGCCCCCACGAGACACTGGGGCAGCCAGAGGGACACTCCTTTTCTGCATTGGTCAGTGCAAGTGCAGGTGTCCAGGGAGAGCAGGAAGCACGTTTTCAGAAGCTCCCATGGGCAAGTGAGCAAGTCAGACGGGGACTTGGATGAGAAATGGCAAACTGCGAGGCAGGCCCAGCCCCACGGAACTCACAGCAGCCAGACGTCTCGTCGGTGACCTTGGTGAGCACACGCCCCGTCTGAATGTCCGAGAAGGCCCAATACTGCAAGCAGAGACGGGGGAGCCTTTCAGAGGGGGCAGAGAGGGGAGAGAGGGGGCTCCCCGTTCTGGGCTTGCGGGGAGGGGGCTGGGGTTTCTGGGGCCGCACCTGGTCATCGGAGGAGCTCAGGAGATAATCGCCCGTGGCATGGAGGCTGAGGCCCGTCACGGCACTCTCATGGGCCCGAACAACCTGAACACAAGAGGCGTTCGGGACCGACCAGATCCTGATGGTGGCATCCGGGGAGGCAGAGAACACCAGCTCCTGGAAGGAAAGCGAAGAAGCAGGACGTCAGGTTCGGAGGTCAAGTGGACACAACTCTCTGCCAAAAGGGCCCAGGAACGGCCATAGTGACCAGCAGCAAGCCCGCCTCCTCTCATAGGGCCTGGGACCACCCACGATGCTGCCAAAGACCAGCTGCTGGTGCAACCTATTACCAAAGCCAAGCAAGCAGCGCTGGGCCAAGGGGAGGCTCCCCAGTGGGTGGCAACAGGGGAACAGTGGAGGGCGTGCTGAGGGAGGAACTGCACGTCCCTCGGAGCCCTGGGCTGTGTGTGGGTCAGTGCACGAGTCAACGTGACAGGTCTAGAAGGCACTACAAAGACTTGACCCAGGGGTCAGAGTAACAGTACAGCGGGTAGGATGTTTGCCTTGCACACGGCTGACCCGGGTTCAATCTCCGGTCCCCCTTACTCCGCCAGGAGTAATTCCTGAGTGCAGAGCGAGGAGTAATCCCTAAGCATCGCTGGGTGTGACCCAAAAAGGGGGAAAAAAACAAACTTGATCCACTCCACCCCACATTTAGGAACTTTGGGGCAAGGTAATTCTCAGAAAACATGTGAAGTGGGGAGAGAGTCTGTAGAGTCAGCACTCCATCACTTTTTTTATTTTTGCTTTTTGGGTCTCACCCAGGGATGCTCAGGGGTTACTCCTGGCTCTTCACTCAGGAATTATTCCTGGCGGTGCTGGGGGACCCTATGGGACGCCAGGGATTGAACCTGGGACGGCTGAGTGTCAGGCAAACACCCTACCCACTGTGCTATTGCTCTGGCCAAGTATCTTCGGGTATTACAATCTACAAAGTCAAACTAGTGCCACTGGGGGTGGGAGGGGTGACGGGTGGTACACACCACTGTGCTCAGAGCTCAGTCCTGAGTCTGTGCTAATGGGGCGCCGCGGATCTAATCCCAGTCAATCACGTGCCAGGCAAGCGCCCGAGCCACCACGCTGTCCTCCTGACCCCAACTATCATTTTTATCAATATGGTATTCGGAGAGAAACATGCCCAGAGTAAGCAGGAGATGAGGACTTCCATTCACACGCATTGCACTTTACACAAGTCTCACATTCTCCCTTCTGGTTCCCTTAGGACATGGAGGGAAGGCTATTTGGGAAGCACGAGTCCACACTATCGTCCGTGCCCAGACGCAGAGGGACTCAGACACTCCAAACCTACAAGGGCACCCACTATGCTCAACATAGCCACCTTCACACCCTAAGCCAGTGGTGTCCAACCTTCCCAGGACCAGCCCTAAATAACGGTACCGGTCCCACGCCCGTCTGAGCCAAGACCAGACGCTGCTGACCGCAGAGGGCACACCTGCGGGCTGGCACCAGGCCAAGGACCAACGGCTGAAAACCACTGTCTTAACCCACACGGCTTTCAAACTCAACACCAAATTTTAGGGGAGACAGTACTGCGGGAAGGGTGTCCCCAAGCACCACCAGGACTGATCCCTGAATGCAGAGCCAGGAGGAAGCCCCGAGTACCACTTCGGATATGGCCCCCCAATTTAAAAAAAGACAGAACGAAAGGTCTGGCCGAGTTTTAACTCAACAGCATCTCAGGGATGATGCTTTTTCAAAACCATGGATTTTTTTTCCCTCTCCTGGTCTGAAGGCCCGTCTCCAGGAAAGGGCCAGAGCGGGTCCTGTGTAAGTGGAACCCCAGGGCTGCAGAGAGCCCCCAAGTGCCTACTCTGTCTGGGGAGTCCCAGGTCTCATGGCATAGGGAGGAGGGGTTTGGGGGGAGGGGTCAGGCCCAACGGACAGGGGTGCTGGGAGGCTCACCTGGGAAGGGTGGAAGACCACACTGGTGACCTTCTTGGTGTGGCCTTTGAGCGTGGCCAGGATCTGCTCCGAGCTCTTGTCGAAGACGACGACGTTCTTATCCGCCCCACCTGAGGAGGAGCCGTGCGACACTCAGATCCCAGCCTGGCCGGGCCGGCGCCCCGCGGCAGGAGGCCGTAGGAGGCGTCTGTCCCCAGGCCCATGCAGAGGACAAGGGCGGGCGGCTCTCACCGGTGAGGATCTTGTTGGTATCCGAGGGGCAGAGGTCCAGGGCGAGGATCCCGGGGATGCTGGCACTGTGCAAACCCTGTGAGGGACAGCCAGCCCTGCCCAGTCACCGGACAGCCGGGATGGCCACATCGCGGCCCCCTCCCCGTCCAAGAGAACAGGAGTGATTCCAAGCCCAGAAACAGGCCCGTGTCCTGGGATGGCGAACCCCACTGCCCCCCTCGCGAAGCCTCCCCTCCAGCCACGAAGGAGAGGGACCGGGCACTCACCACGTGGGACGCCACTTGCCGGTACTTGCTGAGCTCTTCCGGCTTCACCAGCTCCTCGGGCACAGTCTTCCCTCTCTGGGGAGAAGAGAGAGCCCCCCGAGACAGGAAGTCAGGAGTGCAACACTCGGCAACCTCCGTCTCCTAAGGGCCGGCGCCCCGGCTCCGCGAAGACTCACCTTCTTCCGCTCCGTGGTGAGCACCGTGGCCTTGTCTTGAAGCTGGGGAGAGAGAGAACGGGGCGCGGTGAGACGGGGGACTCGGCCGGGCCGGCGGCAGGCCGGGGGCTAGGCCAGCCGCGATTGCATGAGCTCCCCAGGAACGCGGCAGCTGCCAGGCTGCGTGCCCCGATTCCATTCAGCGAACAAGCGAGCCCCAAAGGAGACTCAGCCAGGGGCGGGAAATGCAAGACAGAGCTGAGGAAAGGCTACAACTCCCAGGCCCGGTCTGGGCCACGAGGCTGGGGACCGCAAGGCCTGCCCGGACTACCCGGGCCAAGACACACGCCATCAACTCCCATCGAAGGGTTTCTGGCAGAAGAGGGGGCGGGGGGAAGTTGATGCCAGAAAACCAGCTCTTGCTACCCCGAGCTGAGCCGCCGCATCCCAGCCTACGCCCTGTGAAATGCCAACTCCTGCCTCCTTTAGAGGAAGAAACACAGACGGCTTTAACACCGACAGACTGAGAGCGCCAGACGCCACAGCCTGTGCTTGTGGGAACCGAGCTGGCAGAGCGCGCCAGCGGCAGCACTGGCCTTGGTTCGGAAGCCGGAAAGCGAGATACCGGAGACCGGTCGGAAACGGGAAACGTTTGCATGACGTCAACGGACAAAGCCAACGCGGTGGGCGTCTGCGCTCAGCCCCTCTGCTCCCCAACTTTAGGACTGGGGTGCAGAAGAGGAGACGTAAGCCCCCCCCCGCCCCAGTCTGACCAAGCGTGGACACGGCTTACCTTCTGGATGATTTCAGGGGTCATTCCCACCAGCTCACCCAAATCCATGGGCTCCCCTGCACCCTGAGAGAAGAGAGACAAAGGAGAATGAGGCACAGGCTGCTGGAGCCGCCCTCGAAAACCAGCTGGCATGGGGGCGGGATACTCACCACCACACTTGGCTGGGAGCTGGGCACGGCCTGGGGCACAATGAGGCCAGCCTGTGGCTTCAGGGTGGCCAGAGCTGAGAGACAAGGTTAGAAGAGATTAGACGGGAACGACGTCATCAGCAGAACCAGCCCTGGGGTGAGTTTGTCCCCTGCCCCCCCACCAACCCCTGCCCCACCCCGCACCTTCTCGGGCCGCAGTGACCTCCTTGGTCAGACGAGCAATGACACGGCAGGCGGCATCGTGCTGGTAGAGCGCGTGCGACAGCTCCTGGCGCGTGGTCTGCAGCTGCTGGCGCAGGGTGAAGCTGTGCAGCATGACGGCGTCCTGCGGGAAGGGAGGGAGGGAGGGAGGGCGGGCATGAGCGGCGCCGGATGCACAGGAGTCACCCCTGCAGCCCAGACCCCTTCAGTGACTAGAGGAGGAGCTGAGTAACGCCAGCTGGAAGACACGGCCACGGTGCGGACACGGGGACAGGGACGGAGCCGCCGACACTCTCCCGCCCTTCCTCCATTGCACCCGTCAGTGCCAACATGCGGCTGTCACCTCTCCGGAAGGGAACAAGGCAGTCACTGCCGTTCCAGGCTGCCCCAGGGTCCCTTGGCTATGCCCCCCTTGCCTGCTTTTAGCTGTTAGTGTTAGGGACGCCGAGGAATAAGAGGACCCCGGAGGATAAGATGCTCAGCTGAACCCCACGCAAGCAACCTTGGAGACCAAGCCACTCGCCATGGTCACAAGCCTGGGCGTGTGGAGGGAGCCAACGCTGGCTCACGTCACTTCCAAACCACCCGCTCCTCCGATTCCCCCACCCCTCAGAAAAGAAAAGAAAAGAAAAGAAAAGAAAAGAAAAGAAAAGAAAGAGCCCCCCCCACCCCCCGTCCTCGTGACATCCAACCAATCTCTCCCCGACACTCACCCACTCATCCTGCAGGGCCTTCAGGATGGCTGGGATGCTGGTGGCCGAGGGCGGCTTGGGCCGGATCGGGTGAGCAACTGCGGGAGAGGAAAGCCGGTCCTAGGACAGAGTCCCGGGGGGATCTGTGCCCCCCACCCACTCCCGCCTTCGGAAAAGGCCACATCCTCCTCCCCCACCACAGCCCTCGCCCTCTCCAGCCGGCACCTTTGATGTCGATGAGCTGTTCCTCAGACAGAGGCTGGTTGTTGATGGGGTCCGTGCCGTTCTCGGCAATGTACTTCTCGATGAGCCGCCGCTCGTACACATGGTTGGACACCGGCGACACGCACGGGTGCTCGGGCACTTCATTGGAGACTGCCGGGAGGAGGCAGGCACGCAGTGAACTGGAGGCAAACCTCAGGCCCGGTGGTGGCAGGGGAGGGGCAAGGGGCAGGCGGGCTCTTGCGGCTGACCCCAACGGACCCCCAAGACCCCAACTCCCAGCCAGCAGGAAGCGAGAGAGACAGGGCCGGCTCAGGACTGGGGCTTCGGAGGGTGCTTTCCACCAGGCTCGAAGGGTCAGCTAGAGGCCAGGCGGGTCGGAAAGGACACCAACCACACCTGGGACATCATCGCCCATGCAGAGATCACCCATCGCCCCTGCCAGAGACAGGACCAAGCCAGCAGCATCTCAGGCGGGAAACCAGAGGGATCAGGAGACGGGAGGGCTGCAAACAGCAGCAGGGCGGGTGCGGGGAAGTGCTGAGAGCTGGTCAGGCAACACAAGGGGGGTAGGGGACAGGGGTCCCCCCCTCCCATTTAGGCAGTAGAGAACAGTGGGCACTGAGGGCACACGCAGGGTGCAAGGGGAAGCAAAGACCTTGCAAATGCTTGTGCAAACGCTTGTGCAAACGCTTGTGCAAACGCCTACGCAAACCGGCTCCGGGGCAGGTGAGCACGCTTCCCCCCCATCCCCTGCAGAAAGGTGCCACCAAAGGAGGAGAACGCCACGCCCAGGGTGGGGAACCCGCCACTGCTTCCCCCCCTTCCACCTGCCAAAAAAGCAGGCGGGGCGTGCCGAAACGCGCAGACCCGGTGAGCACTGCGCCCGGAGCCAGCGGGCCCCGCCTTCACCGCGCCGCCGGGGAGGGGCCTGGGGGCGCGTCACTGCTGCTAAGGGGGTGGGGGGGGGGGGCGTCTGGTGCAAGGGGATCGCCGGCTGGGGTCGCTACCGGGTCTGAGATCCCCGGTCCTTCCCGGGGGAGCCCCGTGCGTGTCACCCGTGCAAAGTGCGGGGCAGGATCGGGGGGAAACTGAGGCCCGAGGCCCCGCGTCCCCAGCCGCGGCGCAGGCCCGAGTGTGTCCCCCCACCACCCTCCCGCTTCCTCGGTGTCGCCTCCCCCCCCCCGCACCCACCTCCGCGGGGCGAGACGAGGGGCGACGGGCGAGCCCCGCCAACGGCGCCCGCGCGGCCCGGCCCGAGCCCCCCGCGCCCCCGCGAGCCGAGGCCCCCGCGCCCGCCGCCGACACTCACTCGAGCAGATGAGGGACATGGCGCCGCGGCCGCGCTCCCAGGCGCCTCACTCGGGCCACTTCCGGCTCCCCGCCGCTTCCGGCCGGTCGGCGGCGAGCGGGCTGCAAGGCCCCCGCCGAGCGATGCGCGCCGAGCGCCTCACGTGGGGCCGCCGCCGCCGCCGCCGCCAGCCGCGCGCCTCAGCCCGCAGCGCCTCCCGGAAATGGCCCTTTCCCGGCAGCCAGCGGGGCAGGAAAGGGCCGCGCGCCGCGCCGGCGCCGCGCTCGACTGTTTCCGGATCCGCTCGGCTCCCTCCGGCCCGCGCCCAGCTCCTCACCCCCCCCCCCCCACCCGCCACCGCCCCGTGGGAAGAGCCGGGAGGCGCCGAACTACATTTCCCGTGGTGCCGTGCGCGCGCGTGCGCGAGGCGCCCCGCTGCGGGATCAGGGCCACGCTGGGAGAGAGAGAAGGTGCGAGTAGACTGTGAGTGGGCGGGGAAACCCTGGCGTGCCCCAGAATTGCCTAACGGCTAACGAGCTTTCTTTTCTTTTTGTTTTCTCTTTTTTTATTTTTATTTTTTTTGCTTTTTGGGTCACACCCAGCCGATGCCCAGGGGTTACTCCTGGCTCTGCACTCAGAATCACTCCTGGCGGTGCTCGGGGGACCCTATGGGATGCTGGGGATCGAACCCGAGCGTTCTTATCTTTTTTTTTTTTTTAAATGTAGGAGTACTGGGACTGGAGCAATAGCACAATGGATAGGGCGTTTGCCTTGCACGCGGCCGGCCCAGGTTCGATTCCCAGCATCCCATAGGGTCCCCCGAGCACCGCCAGGAGTGATTCCTGAGTGCATGAACCAGGAGGAACTCATGGGCATCCTGAGGTGTGACCCCAAAAGAAGCAAAAATAAATAAATAAATGTAGCATAAATAAATAAATGTGTGACTCAGTACTGCTGTTTATTCAGCCACTGATTAAGCTGATTGAATTGGGCATGAACTCCACAGTACTTTTTTTTTAATTCAGAATGTTAATTTTATTTTTTTTATTTTTATTATTATTTTTTAAATCTCCGTGAGATAGTTACAAACCTTTCCTGTTTGAGTTTCAGTCATACAATGATCCATCACCCAACCCTCCACCAGTGCACATCTCCCACCCCTAAAGTCCCCAGTATCCCCCCCCATCCCACCCCTGCCCCTGCTTCTATAGTGATCTCCCCCCATACTCTCTTTTGTAATGCTTGTTAATAATAGCATAATATGTCAAGTGGCCACGAGACCAATTGTGTGCTCCTGGAATTTTAAAATTCTAGATAATTTGGGTCTGGAGAAATCTCTGCAGCAAGCCACTCGGTTTGGAGATTCTTTTGTATCTCTAAATCATGGCCCTAATGAGCTTTCTTAAGATGCATATCCTGAGGTCCAAGAGGTCGAGGTCATGCTTTATCTTGCTTGCAGTGAACCCTAATTGGGATCCCCAGCACCACACACAAGTGCCCCAGCGAAGCAGGGGAGTCACTCGGGAGCACAGAGCTGGAAATACCCCTGAGTACCACCAGGTGGTGCTCAAACACACCCCACCTCCTCCCACCAAATAGTACTTTCAACAAATAATTTTTTGTCATGCATATTCCTGGACTAGAGATACAGGGGTTAAGGCTTTTGCCTTGCACGTGGCCAACTCTGGTTTGATCCCAAACACCACACGTGATTCCCTGAGCATCACGGGGATTGACCCCTGAGCACAGAGACAGGAGTAAGACCTGAGCATCACCCTCACCCCCAAAATGCATATTCCTGGGGTCTGCGTTAGAAAGCGCAATCACAGATATTTACTAGGTAATAATTATAAGACAGCTGTCTTTGAACTACCCTTGTTGGTCACCAGGGTGGCCTGGTGAAAAAGACACAAATGCAGCTGGACAGAGAAACTGAGACTGGCCAAGAAACCGTGCTGGGGGCTGGAAAAATTGTACAGTGAGTAAAGCACTGGTCTTGAGCAACAGCCAACAACGGGTTCCAACCCTGACACCACATATGTTCCCTTGAGCACTGCTAGGAGTGATCCCTGAGCACAGACTTAGGAGTAAGACCTGAGCACCGCCAGTTGTGGCCTCAAAACCAAATTAAATTTAACTGTTCTGGGGCTGGAGCAATAGCACAGTGGGTAGGGTGTTTGTCTTGCCCGCGGCCAACTCGGGTTCGATTCCCAGCATCCCATATGGTCGCCTGAGCACCGCAAGGGGTAATTCCTGAGTGCAGAGCCAGGAGTAACCCCTGTGTATCGCTGAGTGTGACCCAAAAAGCCAAAAAAAAAATTTAACTGTTCTGAGAGCTGGTATAATTGTACACATAGTACAATGGGTAGGGCACTTGCCTTGTACACACCAAACCAGGCTCAATCCCGGGCATCCCCATATAGTCAGTCCCCTGAGCCCTTCTGAGAGTGATCTTTGAGCACAGAGCCAGAAACAAGCCCTGAACAATGCGGAGTGTGGCCCCAAACCAATAATTAACAATAATATTCTGACCCCCCCCCAAAAGCAATAATTAACAATAATATTCTGACCCTGACCCTGCTGCCAATTTGCTGTGACTTGATCACCGTCTTTACCCGCCTCCTGCATGACTTCTAATCCCTCATCCTGCTCAGATAATATGCAAGCCTTGTGACTATTTCTAGGTTACTGGAGTTGGGGGACACGGTCCAAGAGTCCCAGACAAAGCAGCAAGACAGACAAATGTGGTAGGTGGAGTGCTCTTAGCCACAGAGCTGCAAACGAACTGGACTCAAAAAGTCAGTGCTGTATTATGGTTTAGAAGGAAATATTCGTGGAGTTCAATTAAATCAGCTTAATCAATGGCTGAACAAATAGCACTACTCCTACATTATTTTTAAAAAAAAAAAAGGGAAATATTCAGTCATGCCAGTGATCAGACTCTAGTTCTCATATGTACTTGGTTCCAGTTCCTGGCTCACAGCTCTCTGAACCCTGGAAGTGTTGGCTGACCAAAGGGGTCATTGGACTCAGTGGTGCAGCTTTTGACCCCATCTAAGGGCTGGAGGCTGGGTGCTAGAATGCAGTGTGTGTCTAACTCAGTCTCTTGACCTCTGGGAAGGACACAGGGTGTCAAAGTTGAATCTGGTCCTGAAAATATAATCAAGCATCCTGTGCAATGAAAGCCCCGAATGACAAGATGCTAAAATCTTCCCATCTGTATGGGGGCTGGAGCGATAGTACAGCAGGTACAGCGTTTGTCTTGCACGTGGCTGACCCGGGTTCGATTCCCAGCATCCCATATGGTCCCCCAAGCACCGCCAGGAGTAATTTCTGAGTGCAAAGCCAAGAGTAATTCCTGTGCATTGCTGAGTGTGACCCAAAAAGAAAAAAATAAAATGCCTTCCCATCTGTGCAGTGGGAACTGTGGGCTATATGGGTATAAAAGCCTATCATTTACAGCATTATAAATCATAGCGCCTAAAAGTTAAAAATGAAAAAATGGGAAGAGGGGCTGGAGTGATAGCACAGCGGGTAGGGCGTTTGCCTTGCATGCGGCCGACCCAGGTTTGATTCCCAGCATCCCATATGTCCCCTGAGCACCGCCAGGGGTAATTCCTGAGTGCAGAGCCAGGAGTGACCTGTGTGCATTGCCGGGTGTGGTCCAAAAGGAAAAAAAAATGGGAAGAGGCTGGAGACATAGTACAAGGGGTAGGGTGCTTGCCTTGCAGGCAGCCGACCATGATTTGATCCCCTGCATCCCATAAAGTCCCCTGAGCCTGCCAGGAGTGATCCCTGAATGCAGAGCCAGGAGCATCTCATCTTGAGCATCACGGAATGTAGCCACCACCACCACCAAAAAAAAAAAAAAAATACCTGGGGCTGGAGAGAGTACAGTGGGTAGGGCACTTGCCTAACACATGGTTGACCTGGGTTCAATCTCTAGTACCCCAGATGGTCTCCCAAGCCCCACCAGAAGTGATCCCTGAGCAGAGCCAGGAATGAGTCCTGAGCATCACCGGATGTGGCTCCAAACCCCAAAACCAAAACAAATCTTGGGATTGGAGAGATAGAGTATGGCAGGTAAGGTGCTTGCCTTGCACGCGGCTGACCCGGGTTTGATTTCTGGCATCCTTGGCACCCCTGATAAGCACCACCAGGAGTGATTCCTGAGTGCAGTCAGGAATAACTCCTGAACATCTCCAAGTGTGGCCTCCCAAACAAACAAACAGAAAATAACAACAACAACAAAGAACTTTAGATGGGTGAGTGCTTGGAGGTTGGGGGCAATAGTGGGAGAATATTCTGGAAAAGATGTGGGGAAGCTCCATGCCCTCCCTCCGGGTCACCTGCTTTGCCTCTCTCCCATCTAGTCAAACCTGACCCGATAGTGAACTCGACATCCAGTAAGTAACTCGTTCCCCTGAGTTCTATGAGTCATTCTAGCAAATCAATAGACCCCAAGGTGGGGGTTGGTCATTGGATGTTTGGCTTGACAGCCCCTGGTCAGAGCACAGGGAACAGCCTGGGCTCCAAGAGAGCGTTGTAAAGTGGCTCGGAGCTGCTGGGAGCCCAGGCCAGTTGCTTGCGGCATCTGATGTTCTCTCTCAGTTCTGTCTGAAGTCGGTTGAACATTCCAACATCTTAGTGGTACCCCAAGAATTTCTTTTTTTTTCTTTTTGGGTCACACCTGGCGATGCACAGCGGTTACTCCTGGCTCTGCACTCAGGAGTTACTCCTGGCGGTGTTCAGGGGACCATATGGGATGCTGGGAATCGAACCCGGGTCTGCCGCGTGCAGGCAAATGCCCTACCCGCTGTACCCGCTGTACTATCTCTCCAACCCCCAAGAATTTCTCATGATGGGGAAGACTTCACACACACACACACACACACACACACACACACACACACACAGAGGCATTCTGGATTCCCAGTGGATGGGCAAAAGTCAGAGAGAGGGGAAGGAGAACGGAAGGCCTGCCCTGAGAAAGAGCAGAAGTGAGGAAACGCTTGGAGAGGAGCGTTCAAGCCACAGAGACCAAAGGCGTGACAGTAGGGTGGCCGGAACCACGGGCCGGAGATACACACTTCTTCCCTGCCTCCCCCGAGCCGGGATGCTGTGGGAATGTCTTGGCATCACTTTTTCCTCCGTGAAACAGAGAAGTGGTGACAGTGATACAACCCCCTCCCCCCACA